TTGTAAATTGGACATAATATATACCTGGTGAGTAGGTATTTGTACACAGAAAGTTTTATTGGAAACTAATGAAGTTAAAGCGTGCAAGTTAAAGTTTTACAAGGCCTCTATTTTTCATGGTATATAGAGATCCGTTTCAGACACATCTTGGACTCTTCAAATTTAGGAAAACGATTATTTTCTAAAAGAAAAATATGTCATCCCATAGAGGTGAATGTAGTAAATAAATTTTCATGAACAGTTTTTTTTGAAAGCATTAAAAAAGCAAGGGACTCAGTAAGAACTACTTTATCCGCTGACACGAAAATAACTGGAAAAACCGACTTTTTCAAATTCTGAAAGTTTGATTACTCTCCGACAACTGATCCAATCTATGAAATATTTTAACTCCCAGACCCTTGGAGATATCCTCTGCAAACTGACCAAATTTGAGGGTACGCTGACGGGGGTACCATTCCGTCAAAAAGAAGAATTGGTCACTGAATCTAGTTCTCAAAAAAAGAAGCCGTTCCTAAAACTGTGACCTATCACAGGTCTAATCAAGAAAAGGTGAAGTCCATACGGATATCTCTTCCTTCTCTTCATACCATAATCAGCAGTGCAACATTTCCCACACGTATAAAGTAAGAAAATATTTGTCTCAAAACTTCTTTTTCTCCACAGTGACAAATTTTTCTGTCATCGGAGAAAGAAAAGAAAATAAGATGTTCTCTTCTTTCTAGCTATTTAAGATATAGCAGCGATAAAAGAATGCTTAGTACACGATGAAAAAATGTAACAAGCGTTCCAGAATAAATTACAGTGCATCTTAGCACATTTTTCTTCTGTTTGATAGGCATCCAGAAAATTTCTCTTATGTTAAAAGGTTGAGAATTGCAAGCTATACAAAATAGAATGTTTATTTCAAAAAACATTATCCTTATCGGATCGTGAGATCTGATAAATTCCATGATCTAACTCGAAATATTCTGGCGCACGACTTCAAGTAGGATTATTTTGACGCTTTGTTTTCTTTGATCAATTAACACTTGCCTGCTCGTTCAAAAGCTCTAGTTTATATATTAACCGCGTTCATTACATGGAGATCTGAACTATTCGCAAGCCAATGATCTTTCGTTCAAAAATCCGAAATAAATATTTCTCACACCGTTCATGTATTATTGTGCCTCTGTCTGCTGACGCATTGTCTTACTGAAGAATGAGGTCGCTGTCTAACAGTTGTTCACCGTTTTTTAACGCTGCAGGTATAATTTCATCGATGCATCATTTACTATTGATAGTATTTTCGTCGATGATCACTGGTCGCGTCACTTCTTTCTAGCACATTGCTAACTAAACCATAACACCTGAAGACACAGTGAATACCACTTTTATTATTTTTTTCTTTGCATGAAGTAGCATAAGTTCGATCATGTCACTCTGTTTGTTCAAAGTGCCATCGATGTGAAATGAAGATTTAGTTAGATTACGACTCGAACTTCGTCAAATCAAAGTGACTTTCCGGTTCAATAAACTACATATATGAAACTCATATAAGTAGTAAAAAATAAACATTCATAATTAATGAGAGAGTAGTGAAAGAAAACTTTTAAACGTATTTATTTGGGTAATCTCATTCTATCACGTTGTTCGTGATTTTCGTTTCTCTTCGTATATACATAATTTCTGAAGAAACTTTCTTTTGGACAAATCTGACACAAATAACTCTTGAGTGAGGGTCATCTTAGAATAGAAATACCAAACTGGCTAAGATAGCAATATCGTAAAGTAAACACGGTGTTAGTCTTTGTGATCAGACCAATTCACCTGGAACTAGCATTAAAAAATGGTAAAGTACCTATTCAGAAAATATTTCGATGCAAATCGACTTTAATCTGTTATGCAAAGTGATTTTTGCTCAAGAAGGAAATTGTAAAAGGTTCATTACGTGTTATGAAACTATAATCACCTCGCTTTTCGTCTTGGATCGAATCTGATATTTCTGTATTGAAAGATTAAGTGAGAGTGATAGTAAGAGATGATGATAATGTTTTGAAACTTGTTGGCACTCATTCCTACGCTTTCGATGATCTATTACCAACTGCTCATCTTCGTGACCATGAAAAATAATTGTTCTTTAGTTTTAAGTACCGATACACATTTATAAAGTAGAAGATGATAGAAGGGCATAATGAAGAGCAAAAAGTGGTGATAACAGAGGTTCACACTTCGGCCGAGCTGACAGCAATCACGTCTGATGATGAAAAGACAAATAATCAACAGCAAGCTATGGGCAAAGATGTTGGCATTCAAACCGAGCTAATAGCAGTCACACTCGATGATGAAGAAACGAGTGACCAACAACATGTAATGAGCACAAACGTCGGGAACAACAGCAGTCCACCGAACGAGTTTGAGATGATACGTTTGAATTTGAATGGCGAAGAAGCATTTGATCAAATACAAGTGCCAGTAGCATTGAAGAATTTTAATAACGTACCAGTCAACACAATGACAAAAAACTGTCGAATCGTAGAAGCTGCCATAGAGGAACTGAATTCGGCTACTACGAACATTATCAACGATATTGGAGCAGATCTTAGTCCTATTGTGGGATACGCCGAAGAGCCCTTGCTACCACTTTACAAAGCATGTGCTCCGCTGACTGCAATCATTCATAATATATCGTTTTACGTTCAATTAGCATTGAACGAAACGCCAGAACAGCCACTCGATGGATTGACGATCGACGAGAGCGCTGCAATTCGCCTCTACACGATCGAATGGGAAATATCACATCAAAGTCTCTATTCGATGCTCAATCATACGCTCAAGATGGCTGATCGCGAAAATGTTCGACCATATTTCAAATATCTAAAACTGCTCGTAACTGCCCTAGCCAAATTACCATTCGTTCCACCATTAACTATTTGGAGAGGAGTGACTAAAAATTTAAGCGCACAATATCCACCCGGCACCTTGGTGACATGGTGGGCGTTTTCATCGAGCACGACTTCATTGATCGTACTTGAGAACAGCATCTATTTGGGCAATACTGGTGATCGAACACTATTCTCTATCGAAGCCCTTAATGGTCGAAGAATAGGTGCTCATTCGCATTTCGTTATCGAAGATGAAATTCTTCTTCTGCCCGGCACTCACATGGTAGTTCAATCGCAATTTAGTCCAGCACCCGATCTTCATATCGTACATTTGAAACAGATTATACCGGATAAAATGCTACTAGAACCTCCATTCGAAGGTATTTTACACGTTGTCAATCATCATTGTAAATTGAAGTATTCCTTTGCTTAGGTGCACGTCTTTATCCGAAAATTAAGTAAGTCTGATCTCATATTTTCCTAACTGTATTTTTTATGAGATTTTTCATTACGTTGACAAGACGTCCATGGTATCGAAAAAAGAGATTTGTTATTCCAATCTGCTTTTTGACTATTCTGATCATCGGAGCAATTGTACTTGGCTCTGTTTTTGGAACAAAATCTAGCATAAATCTCATCAATTCGGCAGGTAAGATTTTCGATATTACTTTAAGTTCTAAATCAAGCCATAGCTCTTTTTGCAAGAGCTGACTACTCCGCTGCACATATATTCAAAGATATTGAAACTTCTAGATCACAATGATTATGCCATCTTCGTTTCTTCTTCCTCTTCTGCCAAACCATGTTCAATCATCTTCCCATTTGTAGTAAATATAAATGAATCACAAACCTTGGTGGAAACTGAGGAAGCAACATTGGTCAAATACATCATTCAGGCTAAAAAAAATTGGTTTTCGAAATCAAAAACATCTGGTAGAACATATTTATAAATGTAGACATGTAACCATCGATTTTTTCTACTAGTGTAGATCCAGTTTAGGATTACAGCTTAAATTTCTTCCTCTTATTTTGCACCCCTTCGCCAGATATGATATTTGAATTTGACGAGTTTGAAACTGACAGACTTGCAGCAACAACACAGCCTTTGCGGATGTTAAATCTGTTGAATTCCGCCTGAATAAAACAATAGTCGAGAAAATGATTAAAATCATCGTTATGAACGGTATACTACCATCCGTTCATAAGACGAAGAATAATCACCCTTTTTAGTCTAATTTACCAGGCCGACTACCTGGATGACAGCAGGTGCGTGATTCGAGTCCGTCGAAGAGGCTATCTTTTTCTCCGTTCTTGTGTCATCCCAACTCTCTGTAGATAGCTGCCGGGGGTCATAACATTCGACTCTAACAATGATCTCTGATATTCTTAGCTAGAATCGTTGCTGAACGGTCTACCAATTAATTGAAATACGGTTTCCAACCGGTTAAAAGTAGATAAAAAGCTAATCGTTTAGAACTTTGTATGCAATCAATCAAAGACGCTAAAATTTCTTCTGAAAATCAACCTTTAAGAAGAGCTTGTATTGAGAATGAAACTCCACGTAATGACTTTAATTAATCGAATATTAAAACAGATCAATAAAAAATAATATCAGTCCTAGAGTTGGAGATAGTAGAAAAGGGAATGAACTCAGAGAACGCGCGATACATGCGACAGTGAAAACATTTCAAACTTTGTTCGTCTTCCATCAGTACAGTATCAATGCAGTAGTTTCTTCATGAACTCTTATTTTCACAGCCGACTACCGGGTATCCTGACGAGAACTTGTTTGTATGTATTCTTAAGAGTCAATTGCTGCAAGGATCAAGTGACTCAGGAAGTTGATATTCACCAAACTACATAAAACATTCCAATGTAGGATCTATATACTAATGTGTGTTCAGAACCGTTATCAGAATTTTAAAAAATATGTTGTTAAATAATTTTTGAGGTCAGCAAGTATCTATGGTACCCGCTATACACCTGATATCTAATTAAATGTCTACCTTCTACACTAACACAGAAATTTGTTTTGAATTGTCGATCTTGTAGAGCTCGAAGCGCTGAACACTTATTGTAACGGATGTCGGCTCACTTGTCACACCGCCACTGGGATATTCGCGAAATACTCCATGCTCTACATGATGGCATAGATTTTTTTGACCTGTGAAGATTCCTATTGATGATGATAATCTGGTCGACAGCATTATGGTTCAATTATCTCTCTTGAGAACGATACTCTAAGTAATGTTATATATGGTGTTGTAGCTGAAGATTTCCTATACAAGAATATAGTCTAACATCTTTGGTTCCTTTAGAAAAAGGAGGTGAGAATCCCAAACACTTTTTTACAGCAGAAAAGAAAGAGATTTTTACTCTAAACTCGTATTATCCAACTCAAATGTCAATTCGTGACCATCGTGATAAACTAAGTCGAATAATAAGCTTTTTGTAAAGAAAATATTTTCGTTAAAAAATTCGCTTTTGGCGCTCTCGGTGATTTTTTCGAAAATTTTTCCCGTAGAAAGCCAAGGACGAATTTTTTTGACGAAAGTCTTCTTTACAAAAAGCTTATTATTCGACTCAGTTTTTCACGGTGATCATGAATTGGCATTTGAGTTGGATAATACGAGTTTATGGTAAAAATCTCTTTCTTTTCTGCTGTAGAAAAGTGTTTGGGATTCTTATCTCATTTTTTAAACGGACCGAAGATGTCAGACTATATTCTTGTACAGGAAATCTTCAGCTACATAACCATAAATAACATTACTTGGAGCATCGTTTTCAAGAGAGATAATTGAACTACAATGTTATCGACCAAGTTATTACCGTCAAGAGGAACCACCGTAGGTCAATAAAATCTATGCGATCTTGTAGAGCATGAAGAATGCGTTCTTTTCACATACTAAAGTTGATGTTAGTATCGTTCTGTAGCTCAACACTAAATTCCTAATAGTGCAAGGTCACAAGTAGCACAGAGAGCTGACTAGTATTTCGCAAATATCGCAGTGGGGGTATGACAACTGAGCCAGCATCCACTATGAAAGTTTTTCAGCACTGCGAGTTCTACAAGATCAACAATTCAAAAAAATTTCGTATATCAGTGTACAAGGTAGGTATGTAATTAGATATCAGGTGTATAGTGAGTACCATGGATACTTGCTGACCTCAACAATTATTTACCAACATATTTTTTTAAATTCTGACAACGGCTTTGAACACATACTAGTATATAGATCTTACACTGGAATGTTTTATGAAATTTGGTGAATATCAACTTCGTGAGTCACCTAATCCTTACAGCCACTGCCTCTTAAAGCAACTGAAGAGTAAAACAGGTGTTGACTGTTTCTTTTAAGAGGGAATCAATTTTATAGTTTACCTCATGTTAGTAAAAATCGACAATCTTCTACAGTATTAGCGTGTTTCCATTAGAGGTGAGATAGCAATATGTAGCAATGAAATCACGAAGTGAAAAAGAGAAACAATTTCGATGCAATGGCAATTTAAAAAGTCTCTCTCGAGTATTCAGTAATAGATGATCAGATCTTGCTTAAGCATTTCATTTATCTACGCGTTGCCCTGTATTACTCTAAAAATCACTTGTGATTGTGAGAACGAAGCCGCTGTACATTTTTCGGGAAAGTCAAAATGTGGTGCTTTGCTAGACAGACTAAATCTGCAGGATCTACTCTAGTGCTAAGATGGATTTCATATTGCCTTGGCACGGATACAGTATCAACAGTCTTCACAGAGCGAATATACACATTGAAATGTGCGTTTTAGTCGTTGAGATAAATGATAGTAGCTTAATTCTCACGTGAACAAGTATTAAAAAGTCATTTACTACGCGTGTCTATCGTATACCGGAATGCCAAATGTTAGATTAGAGTAAGACTATGACCTAATAAATCCCACATGCTTTAGTCCAACGTGTAAAAATATTGCGCCTTCCAGTATTTGAACGCTACTTACGAGCAAACATCAACACTAATCAAAATGCAATATTCTGGAAATTCCTTCATTCATAGATTTTAGTGAACGTCTGAGTCAGCTAAAGCTCTATTTGTGTAAGTAGTGTCACCAAAAATTCTGCGATAATCTGAAGTGTGCAACTTCTCGTCAGCTCACGTAAAGTGAGAAAATTGTGCTAAACACAAATATTCCCAATAAATGAGTGAATTATTTGATTTTGAAGTTCGTGAATTATTCCACGATTCAGTTGCATTATGTAGTCTTGACGAGTCTTGATAAAGATAGAGCTTTTCACTCTACGGAATATTCTGCATACAACGAAAATTCATTTTCTAGCTCGCTTTTCAACATAATTTTTGCCAGTTCAATAAGATTCTTTATGCACTCTACACATGCAGAGTGAAACTTATTTCACGTTGTTGTGGCACTGACGATTTCAACATTTTATGATTTGAGAAATCGCAACTGGCAATATTTCTATATTTTCAAGTTGTTGAATAATTCAGCAGTAATCCATGCATATTTTGAAACGTAGAAAACCTAGATGATATTGAGAACGTTAAGAAATAAACCTTGATCGAATATGACATCTGATATAGATTCGACAAAGTAGTTTATGTTACCGATAGGTCGAAAATAAAGGTCATCGTTACCAATATCTGTTATCTTCTTGATGATATGATAATATTCAAGTAAAACTAATATATAGCCAATCATTACATCTTTTCATCTATTGTCTAAAACGATTTATTTCCAACAGATGTGTTGTCTGGTAACATGCTTGGCGATCAATAAAGGGCACCGATGGAATCGGTTAGGTTTTAGAAGATACAGACCAAGGACCATCTCTAGTATAGAATCAACAATAATTGTACTTTCCTATTCTTCTAACGTGGACTTTA